GGTTTTTCTCTGGGGAAGAGGGTCGGGCTGCAGAGAAGATCAGTTTTTTTTATTATTTTAATTTTTTTTTTGGTTGTGGTTTTTTAGTTTTATTTTATTTTATGGTTTTTTTCTTTTATTTTAATAAGTAAAATAATTTTTTATTAATTTTTGGTACACGTGGAAGTTCACGTCATAAAAAAAAAGGGTCCCACTTTTGACAAATCAGCATTTAACAGACTCACTAACAGTTTGGCTAACGGAGGGGCAATCTGTAGGTTTTCCGTGACGTTGTGTATGTACTCGTAAATGTCCCCAAAATCCACCTTTTCTAATTTTGTTCATGAACTTTACTAAAAGGAAAAGGTGTTGCCATGTTACCTTACTAACAGCATTGCTTGAATAGAAACCCCAATCAAGGAAAGTGGGTAAGCCACAAATTGTAGTCATCAGATGATTTTTGGTTAGATTAATGATTGATATCTTGAAATGTGGATAAGCCACTCTTTGACATGACATATATAAGAAAAATTAAATTTAACGTGTAAATAAATAATTACTCAAACATGAATAAAAGAAACATCGTCAGATCAGTTCTGGTAATAAACTGCCATACAACAAACCAAGGAGAGCAACGAAAAATAAAATAAAATAAAATAAAAAAGAAAGAAAGAAAGAAGCAGAACTAGAGCAAAGTGCTCCACCCAACAAACATGGAAATGAACTCCAGCCTCTTTCTTTATTCAGCAGCGCAGCTCCCTTACTTTCTCTCCTGTTTATTTTTACCAAAACTTATACCATGGCTTCTTGCTCGTTCCTTCTTCTTTCCTCGAGTTGTAGTACTTGTTGCCAAATTTTCCGATCCCAACAAACTCCCCCTCTTTTGAATCAATCTTGTTGCCATCAATGTTGTAGTCAGTTTTGTTTTGACCCTTACTTCCTTGATGATGATCAACAGCACCACCTTCATGATATTCGTTGCTGAAGTCGAAAATCCCAACGTTTCTGCTTTTTTCTGCTGCGGTAATTACATTCTCACGAATGTTCCAGGTCTGGTTATTACTATTTTCTGCCTCACTAGTTCTGTCTTGCGGGAGCTCTGATTCAGTTTCTTTTTGTGGGGGCACGGTTTCAGTTTCTTTTTGTGGGAGCTCTGTTTGAGTTTCAGAAAGTGTTCTAGAGGAACCAGTAAAGGGTTTTGTTGCCATCTCCTTGTGCAGGTATTCAGCTTCATTTGGAGACCCATCTTGTTCTTGTATAGAGGTAAGGATAAAAATGGAAATAATAAATAAAAAAAAGTCCTGATAATAATCAACTTGGATTAGTGTAGTCAAGACTCAAAAGGTATTTTATGTGGGTGGAAAAATTTCGTTTTTCCTATTGGTGTTCATGTTTCTTTCACATGATGGGACATAAAAAGTTTGGTAGACCCAAATTGAAATGGTGAAGGCTGCTACTAATATTAAATAAATTATCATTAGAAAAAGGTGATCGCATGATGACGAATGCTAATTAATTATGTTAACTTTATTAATCATAAACAATTACAAATACTAACCCCATCAAATTTCTGTTGTTATCATGAAGCGCAATTGTTAAACGGGTTCACACCTACAGGGAGCGATAATAATCAACTTGGATTAGTATAGTCAAGTCTCAAAAGGTATTTTATGTGGGTGGAAAAATTTCGTTTTTCCTATTGGGGTTCATGTTTCTTTCACATGATGGGACATAAAAAAATTTGTAAATCCAAATTGAAATGGTGAAGGCAGCTACTAATATTAAATAAATTATCATTAGAAAAAGGTAATCACATGATGACAAATGCTAATTAATTATGTAAACTTTCTTAATCATAAACAATTAAAAATACTAACCCCATCTAATTTCTATTGTTATCATGAAGCGCAATTGTTAAACAGGTTCACACCCACAGGGAGATAATAGTCAACTCGGGCACAATGGACCCACGTGCTCTGACAATTGGTTGCTTTATCTTTCGGCCATGTCTATCTATTATCTAAAGAAAAAGAGTTTTGTTTGGCTTCACTTACAATTAGAAACTGTAGCAACTTTTTGTGGCACACAAGCAGCCAATTATCGATACCTCCAGACAAGGGTTCCAGACGTTGAAAATGTCTACCGGCCGGCTATATCTGAAGCCTCCGCTTGGTGATCAGAAACAAGGTTCTGAGGATTCTTCTAAGGCGAACACCGACCAACAAAACAGCAACAGCTCGAAATCCCCATCGGTGAGCACCAAAACTCTCCAACCCAAGGAAAAAGACAAGGGCGGAAGAGGCAATGACTTCAACATCGTTGGGAATAATATTACGGGGATAAAATCGGAGAGAGTAGGAATTTTTGAGGTTGGCAACACCCACATCTATAAAGGCCAAGGGAAAGAGAAACCAGTCGACTCCGGTGCTGATGAAGACGAAGCAGTGAACTGATGACTGACTGAGATCTGTAGCTAGCTAGGGCCTCCCCTCCATCCATCTTACTTATATGTAATACTAATGTGATGAGTAAAATAAAGGGACTCCCCTTTTCTCCACTTTCATTCCTTCTTATTTTTTAATAATTTTTAATCACTTTTGTTCTTTCTCTTTTCTATTCTACTCTTATTTTATTTCACTTTTATATTTTTTTTTCTTATATTATTTAATTTTTCACCGTGATTGAATGAAGATAATGCTTATAATTCTCCTTCAACTATATAAGCCTTCATAAACTGTTTGTTTTTAAGATTCAAAAAGAGTTATGCCAAAATAAAAAGGGACACGTACGTAAATTCAAGGACTGAAAAGTTGCAGTTCGCAATAGCTGTCAACGACTGAAAATAACCCAACGCGCCGTACATCTAAATTCAAGGACTCGATAGACCGACACACAACAATAGGCATTTGTTGGCGGGCAAGGGAGACCATCGTCTCTTCAAGGGTCAACGTATAAAATCTCACAAATTTTTTTAGACAAATCTAGAATACACCATATTATTATTAACCAATCTACAAAGATTTCTTGATGAAAAATGTGAAGAAAATTAACACAAAAACCAGACTAGTTAAGTATAATAACAATAATAATAACACACACAAAAACTAAACTAATTAACCAAAACATTCTTTATTACTTAATTAAAGCATACAAAAGCTAAGGACATACAACAATCACTATTAATTAATTTAAAAACATACAAAAGCTAAGTACATACAAGTTGAAAAAAAAAACCAAAAAACAATAACAACATTATGGCGAGCTTCCTGATTCCACAATAGGAGACTTTAGTTTGACCATCTGGATCTCCTCTCTTGGGTTTTCTCGCACCGCTTCTTGGGGCTCATCACTTGAACTTCCAAATATCACTTCCTTAGCTTTAGCAAAACTTGAATCTCCTCATGCATGTTTACTCAGTTGATCCAAGGCCTCCAGTTGCTCTTGCATGTCCTTAGGGTAAAAATCTATCATCTTTGATAGCTTTTGATTCTCTTCTTGCAATATTTCAAGCTAGTGTTGCGTCTCCTCCAATTAGAAAAAAGAAAGAGCAAGCTAGTGTCGCGTCTCCTCCAATTAGAAAAGAGAGAGAGAGAGAGAGAGAGAGAGAGAGAGAGAGAGAGAGAGAGATGAGAGAGATGAGAGAAGGAAAAGAAAAAAAAACAAGGTTACAAACCCTAGTAGGGTTAAACTAGGAAATAAAAGGAATCATAATTACATAATATCTATACAAAAGAAAATAAATAAAATCCCAATACAATAAGAAGGAAATATCTTAATAAGGCTAGGATATCTCGCTAACACTCATATGTTGGGATGTTCAACTTTCACAATGTCTACATCAATGCTGGCCAAGGTCAAGGTGGCTTCTTGAAACACAAAGGTATCAGTCACAACACTGATGAAA